AAGGGCAACCACGTAGCCGTTTTTGAGACAAGGATAACTCTATCACTAACCAAACCAGTGGTAGCAGTTGACATCTGAGTCAGATGACCGCCTGTATTACTTGGGATAAATGCAGGGGGTACCTATTGAGTTAATAGCCAACAAACATTGGCGAATCAAGGGGTCTAGCCGGCCTACGCCGCCTGGTACCTCTACTTCTCAAACAAAAGTGACGGCGACTGAGTAACTCCAAAGTTAACTCATAGTCACTCCTTCAAATTTGGTATGGAACCTAAAAAGTTTGAGTCGTCCGCCTGTTTTATACAAACAAGGGCACTCGAACCCCTATTCCTACTGGATAACCTATTGAGTAAATAGCCAACAAACATTGGTAAATCAAGGGGTCTAGCCGGCCTACGCCGCCTGATACCTTTACTACTCAATCAAGATTGTGACGAAGACTAAGTAACTCCTATGTTAACTTAATAGTCACTCAAACTTAGTACTGAGCCTAAAAGGTACGAGTCGTCCACTTGTTTTTAATAAACAAAGGCTCTCAACCAATACTCTTGCTAGGTTAACAAATAACAAATTAGAGGCCAACATTGGCAATAAAGGGAAACAACCGGTACCCGCCGCTTGTTTTCCTACTTAAATTCCTTGGCTACTTGGTAATTCTATTTACTTGGTCAAATTGAATAAAGAGTTCGAATACCGATTGATTAAATGGCCGACTGATCATCTATCCTGGAAACAGACAACCAGTCGTCCAGGGGCATAGGCGGCATACTTACTATTTGTACCTGTCTTAACGTTCGGCCATACACAACAGTCTGTCTAGTGAGCAAATTTCAAATACTTAGACAAATTTGAACAAAAACAAAAAATTTGATTAAAATGAGCCGGCCATAAAAGACCAGCAGAATATTCAAAACCCCGGCCCCCTGGCCGGGTAATTACAAAGCAAACGGCACGCAGGCCGTGAAAAGGAAAAATATACTTAAAGCTTAAGAAGGGGGCAGTTCAGTATCAGCAGCAGCCGCCTGGTCAGCACTCTTCTTGCTGGACTCGGCCTTCGCTGCATCATCTTTTGATGCCTTTCCCCCAAGTGGCACAAGCGCCACAACAGGCTCTTCCTCCTCCAACGCAACGTCCATCGCCTCTTCTTCAGCAGCCGCCAGGATCTGTTGATTATATATTTCCGAACACTGGCGGTACGTTCTTTCCCATGAGGCAAAGTCGGCACTGGGGAACAGTCGTTCCCAGGTCATGCGTTGGATTTGGGCGGAGTCTTCCACCATCTCCCGGACGAGCTCTTGTTTTTCTTGCTCGGCCTTGTCCGAGAGCTCTTGGGTGAGACTCTTCTCCTGGTTCACCAGGCGTTCTTTTACGTTAGCCAAAGATTTCTCCATGGCTTCGTAAGAGTGCATTTTCTGGCGAAGGGGTTTCAGCTCGGCTTTAAATTTGGTGACGGTCCCCTCCAGCTCGTCAACCTTCTTTTGGGCCGCCTCTAGCTGAGCCCGAACAGCGGCGGTCGCCTGCGCCTGATAATAAAGAAGATCAATGGTCAGTACTTCATTTTGGGCAATTTGAAACATTGCTTTATCACAGCTGGAGGCGGCCATAGCCTTTGCGGCCTTTACCTCTTTGTTTTTTCCGATCAATCGGCTTGCGAAGGCTGTTGACTCGGAGCAGGGCCTAAGTACAAAGAAAAACAGGCGTCAGTTTCCAATCATAAGGGTTAACAGGCGTCCTGGAACTTCAAAAGGGTATACCTCAGCTAGGATCCCCGAAATTCCATCGAGGTCAAGGGTGCCGGCACCCTTGACCGCCTCCCTGTCAGAGGGAGGAACTACTTTAACCATTGACTTGGCTACCTCAACCAAGTCAAGTCCCTGGGGGCCGGCTGCATTAAGCAGAAGGAAAAACAAGTTAGACCTAATCAAGAAGGAAGCAAGAGTGAGTTTTTACAAGCAAGTGTCCATACATCTAGGCGGCCCCGCCTGGGTTTTTGAAGAAGTGGCCGGCTGCTTCTCAGCCGCCACTGTTTTCCTGGAAGACCCAGGAGAGCTTGCAACAGTCGTTCTCCGGGCCTTGGGGTCCGGCTGTTGCGAGGAAGAAGCCCTTGGAGTGCCAGACTGAAAACAAAAAAAGTTAGTATATGCATAATACAACTTAAAGGGGAAGAGTTTTCAAAGCTTACCAAGGGTGCCTCCTTGCTGGGGGAGTCGGCGTACGACTGCTTCATTAGCGAAACCCGCAGCATGGCCGCCGCAGTCTTAGATGCTGTTATTTTACTCATGGCGTCGGCTGAAAGAAATAAACAGCAAAGTTAGTAAAAATCCCAAGTAAACAAGGCGTGAGAAAACAGAGTATTCGTCAGGCCGGCTACCTCTAGAGCACCGACTGCCGAGGCCACAGGCGGCCAAGAAGTACTCATCATAGAGCCACTTGAAGCTCGGGACGCAGTGTAGGGGTACTTGCTCTCGTACCCCTGAAGTAGAGTTCACCCTAGTCTCTACTTTGAAGAGTCCTTTGTCTAGGATCTCTCTTTTAGCCTTTGGGGGAACAGGCGGCATGCTGCGGCCGCCTGCAAGAAGAGGCGGATCCCTGTTCCACTTGTTAAAACGTTTGTTCAGCTCCGTGTCTGAACTCTCGATAATAAGGAAGGTGTTCCGCCAATCCTTCCATTTGTTTGCCTTACCTCTCGTCATGAGGTAACCCCTGTGGCTTGTTAGTTGATACCAGCCGGTACCTCCCGACTTAGGGGTCCGGCTGAGATAGTTCATGTGGGCGAAAGCCTCAAAACTTGGCTCCACCCCGTTCAGTTCGCACCCGGCCACATAGCCGAGTACGTTTACCCAAGAGTTGGGGGCTAACTGCCATAACCCCAGATCATACCCATCTAAAATCCGCTGAACAGCCGGATGTAATGGGAAGCGCAGACCAGCTTTGATGGCCGCCACATAGCAGCCAAAACAGCCGTCACCATAGCTGGTACCAGCCGGCCAGACGACAGTATCTTCTGGATCCGGCACAAACAGTAAATACTCCGGGCCCATTTTGTGGTTAGCAATAAAGCTCGCCACGTTGTCTCGCATGGTTGCGATCCGGCCCCGGGGCACCCTGCAGTAGTAGGGGGTGTTTTCCTCTCTGTAAGAGGCGGACGGCTCTGCCCAATTATCCCCCTTCTCCACTGCATGGGAACTTCTCGCCTCTTGTAGGCGGTTATGTTTTTCTTCTGAGTCAGAAGAACTATGGTCAGAAGAACTATGGTCAGAAGAGCTGGAATCGGACTCGTCCCCTGACGAGTCCGAAGAGAACGACGCCTCCCCTCTCCTAGAGGGGCCCGCCTCCTCTCCCTTAGAAGGAGCAGAAGGTAAATTAGACATGTCCACGGTTAGATGAGAAGGGAACACCTTGGTCCCTCTCTCAGAACTGTCAGCTTGACAGTCGCCTCGTTCCACATCTGGCGCCTGGTCAGATGTTTCGCTAAGGAGTACCCTTTGGGAGGAGCCGTCTGAGTTTGATATTCTAGCAGTCTTTTTTGTTCTGGCCATCACGTTCTGCATAGACACAGATTCAGTCGGACTTTGTATAAAGGGCAAAGATGGGTCCAGAAAAGGGCAGGCGGCACTCCTAGTCCTAGATTCAGCCGTCCCCGGTGACCGGCTGATCACTAACTTAGGGCGTGTCGTGTGCTTCCATGGTGCCATTTCAAAAAATAAAAAGAAAATTAAGAGTAAGAGAACTGAGTTACCTGAACGGATGACAGTTGATGAAGTCCTGAAAGTTCGGGTCAGTCGGCTTGTCAGAACAGGCGGTAGGCAGAAAAAGTCCGAAAATGTCAGATCAAGTTCAGGGGTCCGAATGTTCTCGCAAAAATTCTCAAATGTGAAAATGACCGAAGTCAGCACTTCCTTTTATAGGCAAAATGAGAAGGCGAAGGGTCGCTTCCGAATTCAAATTTGGGCGGGAGGATCTCCCGGCCGTCTGCAAGGTGACACCTGTAACGGGCCGTCGCCTGTCACCGTGCGACACCTGTCACAGGCGACACGTGACCAGTCGCGTGCCACCTGTGAGGGGCAAATGATTAGGGGATTTTTATCCACCAAGCGCCGTTTGACAAGTGGACCAACCAGGTTCCGCCACGCGTCCTCCACGGACCACTTAAGACACGCCACGTGTCCACCCATGCCAAATGGGACAACCGGCCATCAAGGCCCATTTCAGTCTAGAAGCCCGATCGGCCCTAGGTTTACCTTAAACCTAGAGAGTTGCACGCTTCCCAAGGCTATAAATACTCGATTAATCCTCATTAATCAAGGGACCGAATAATTAACAGAACAGAGGAGAAACATTACGGAACACACTAATAACCGGCTGATTTCGCTAGCAAAGCAGATTACCTACATTAAATACTCTCACCTAGAGAGACCTTATTACTTTAATTTCTGTGTTAATTACTCCTTAATCAGGTACTAACTTGACCGTTGGAGGCGGAGCTCTCAGGAGTCTCCGTTATTTTGCAGGTACAGGCGTCCGGTTCCAGTCTCGGAATTGTAGCTCTCCCGCAGGACATCAGAAAACCCCGAAACAGTTATGATTATAGGATGTCCTCCACCACAATTTGAGTTTTCAATTGTAAGTCCAAAATCTCCTAACTTTGCCTGAGTTTATACGGAGTATATTATAGCTTTTACTTTTGAAATGGAAAAAATAGCCTTCAGAGTTAAGACTTCATAGAAGAATTATGAACTCGAAAAAAAAAAAAAAAAATCAGGATCTCTAAGGACTCGTTGCCCCATAAGCATCTAATTCATGTGTCTTGGCCATAACTTTGGGCTCCTCATAATCATATCTTTAGGCATCTTTGGTTTGGCTTTCTTCATGTTTGTTCAAATATCCATCAGATTTTATTAGCTACCAAATTGATAATTTCCCTCCCATAGTCCTGAGTTGCTGAACAAATTCTGGATACAAAAGATTAAAAAGATCTAAGGTTCGATGGCCAAACAAAGAAACACAAGCATATCAAGCAAGCCATTGCACAAACTGAGTATCAAAATCAAGCGGTATTATAGCTTACGGTGCAAGTACATTCTAATTCTCTACTCCAAAACCGAAAATATATGGATCACTTACAATGTCATTGGAGGAGAATAACTACAGAGAAAAGAGAGGAAGGGGGAGAGGGAGAGCTATGGATTTATATTCCTTCAATTGGATATGGATTAGGAGGAAGGAGGGAAAGCGAATGGAGGAATCCAATTTCTTCTCCCTTTTCATAAACCAAATCCTTCCAAAGTTAAAAAAAAAAAACCACTTCTTCCTTTCCATCCCCTCCCTCTCTTTCCTTCCTTTCCTACCACTATTGCTATCCAAACATTCTTAAGCTAATAGGAATATAAAACGCTGTACATCAAAATAAGCTCAAGAAGCTGATACAATGCAGCACACTGGTAAAAGAGTTGAAAACCGAAATGTGACAGCAGCAAGTGCATTGGCTCATCAACCCATTCACCAGCCCATCAGCAATCTTCTGACTCTGTCTACAATCTGATTCCTAGCACTTGTTGTCGTCAGTTGATATTCACAATTCTCATCTAAAAGAAAACGATACACTTCCCATTCCCGATCTGAGGCAGAATACCTGCCTATTTCAGCCTGGAATTGAACAAATTATAGAATTGACTTAGCATCTAGAGAACAAAATTTGTTTATCACTGAAAGACATTCAAAGAGCTGTTACACAAAAATGATATGAATCTTCTTACCGAGAAAATGCAGATGCCAAGCTTTTTAAGAGCAAGAGTGGCATCATGGAAAACTCGAGGTCTTCCCCGTCCAGATGACTCAACTGGATTAGCAACCAATAATTCAGTGTCAGGCCCACGATTCACTATAAGCACTCGCAATGGGTGAAGCATTTCCATCTTAAGACAGGAACATATGAAATATTCTCGTTCAGGATCCAAAATCTTTTTTCCATCCTTCTGCTGGAGGAATAGGTCTATGTCACGATGTCCTTTTGTAACTTCTGGGATTCTACCATATGAAATCTGGGGAGAATATAGCAATTGCATGAGATATGTAATCCTTCATAATCATGAAATTAGCTGAATGCAAACAACAATGACCTCCGAGTGATGAGCAGGCAAATGACTCACAAGTCACAACACATACTGTATAGCTAAACTATTTGGGCACTGACAAGTTGTCCTCGCACTTCAGCATAGGCTGTTCAAATATATATATGAGTCCTCTTCCTTAGTTTCTAGTTCCAACCACTTTCTGATGGTAGGAGAATACAAGAGGCAACCCCAACCAATAGACTATGAGATACAACCCACGGTACTCAACTGCCCATGCCCCCATGGCCCCAATAAATGGAAACCTCAACCTACAAACACAAGAACTATCCAAAACTATCCCTGTAAGTCTACAATTATTGGCGCCAGACTAGCATTCAATTCACTATAGCCAGAAAAAAAATGCCATGACTGATCACAATTCTCAGTACTTCCAGAATCCTGTAAGGCTACGAGAGTACGAGTTATGAGTTGTTCACAATTCTTGGTGCTTCCAAAACCCTCTTAAACTAAGACCTACAGGCTATGATTTGCAACTTGACAAGTTTTATAAGCCAATATTGATCTCAGCTTGACAATGTTTAAACTCCATGTGACATGGCCGGATGGCCCTTTGTCCTGAATACGATATTGAAACCCATTCAAGACAAGACAAATGCATTTGTACTTATAAACACAAACATAAGGGGAACCTAACAATGTGTTCAACTTGATGACAAGGTCACTTGATCACTCAATCAAAGAAACAAATTTCCAAAAAAAAAAGGAAAATTTAGAAATAATAATCCCAACTTTGCTCCATTTTCTTTTATTAATCCCAACTTTTGATTATTCTGGAATAATCCCAACTTTGAGGGTTGTTTACTTTCTTCAATCCCAATTACCGGTTACCTGTGAAATAGGTTAATTTCTTTTTTTTTAAAATAAATGCCACGTGTCAAGAGGTAATTAGCCAAAATATTTGAAAAAAAAATTTAAAAAAATAAAATTTTCAGAAAACCAACCCCACGACCCCCACCCCTTCCCTGACCACCACAGCCCCACCGCCCACCAGAACAACAACCATCCCAATCCCCTTTCACACCGGAAACCCACAACCTTCCTCCCGCCGGCAAGCGCCCCTCCTCCGCACCATCCTGATGCCAATCCCCTTCCTCCTTGAACCACCAATTTCGTCTCCTTACCCAACGTCGCCGTTTTCTCCGTTCCTGCTTCTTCGATCTGATACTGCTACCGCTTCCGCCATAGATGAAGGCATCAAGATCTAGAAAGGAAGGGGAAGCGAAACGGGCGGTGGTATGGGCTGGGGGAGGCGCAACGTACTGATGAGAGCAGCGACAGGCTGGGCGGCTAGGGAGTGGAGGGAGGTTTTAATGGTTGTTTTGAGGAGAGAGGGGGGTTTACGGGAAGATAGGAGGTGGCGGATGGCCGACGGGAGGGTTGGGTTGGGTTCGCCAGTGGGGTAAAGGGGGTTGGGTAAGATTTCCGGTGGGTTAAAGGGGATAGGGGCGGCTACGGTTTGGGAATAGGGTGGACGTTGATGGTGGATGGGCAGGGACGCTGGGTGGGGGTTTCAAAATTTTTTTAATTTTTTTTTTCTTTTTTCCTTTTTGGACCAATCACAATGTGACATGTGTCACTTAACTTGTGATAGAAGGTCATTGACTTTTGTTAACCGGTTTGGGATTGAAGAATGTAAACACCCCCCAAAGTTGGGATTATTGTAGAATAATCCAAAGTTGGGATTATTTAAACAAAACGGAGCAAAGTTAGGATTAATATTTCTAAATTTTCTAAAAAAAAATACTAAGTATATTGAGACCCATTAATAGAATGTTATTAATACCACAACTGTGCACAGTTAAAAACAACCTCCAGAACACAATTTCTTGAAGGCCATAGAGACATAAGGATGGGGAAAAAAGAAAGAAAGAGGAGATCAGATTCCAAGATTATAACTTTGTTCAAGGATACATCATGAGAGGACAGGAAAACAGGATACATATAGGCACAGCCAAAATCAATCACAATATAGGCCCAAAGGGGCAGTTTGGTACTTTGGTTCAAAGGGATCAAAAAGAAAGGAGTCATGGAAAGAACAGAAAGTAACTTCCTAATCTGTCTTGTAATGAAGAATCATACTTATTCCTTGGTAAAACTCCAACTAAAATCCTAAAACCCTTATAAAAATAAATAAATAAATAAATAAATAAATAATCCTGCTGAATTCCCACAACACTCCACCACTAACACCACTCCGCTTTCTTTATCACTTCCAACTATCACACCCCCACCAACCATCACCCACCATGACACCACCACTGCCCCTCCTGGTCTCTTTTATTTATACCACCCTTGCCAGTTTGCTATCTCCCTTTCTAACTTGCCGTCAACACAGCCTCAAAATTAGGCCCTATCTCCATTTCTAACTCGCCATCAGCACAGCCTCACCTTTTATGCTCTACTTGGGCCACCAAAAAACAATCAATCAACAAAAACCATTAGCAATGTCAACCACCAGTAGAGAAGTGAGAAATTTTAAGGCAAATTCGTATGTTCCCATTCTGAAATTATTATAAGGCTTGTTTAGAAGTGGACATGGTGATGTTATCAAGGTGGGAAGGGTAGGGTGGTGATGAGTTGGTGACAGGCTGGGAGAAGGGTGATTCTTGCATGGAAGAGGCATTCTTCAGCAGTTTGAGGCTGAGGGAGGAATTTTGGGAAGAGAGATACATGGTACCTAGTTTCTCTAAGGAGTAAAGAGTAAACAACCTACAATTATTATAGAATCAAAGTAAATGGCCTAATATACCCATCCCCTTGAAACAGGTTCAAATGAAATAGTATGGTCCTCGGATTTAGGGTCAACAGAACTTCTTGAATGCATGGGAAAGAAGTGTTAAAGACATTGTTGCACAATCAGTCTACATAACTAAAACATTTAATAAGTTGTATAGCTCCATTGAGAAGGTAGATTTACGCAACATAAAAGATAAGAAGCTCATACCTTTACATCATGATCTTTCAGAGTTCTCATGATATCATAAATAAGACCTTTGTGGTCAACACAATGTATCTGAAATAGGGTATGACTCGGACTCAAAGAGTTATCCACGTTTACAGCAGCCTTTTTCAATAGTGTCAAATCTGCGCTAAGAGCTTGCATATGGCACTCCTTCTTAGAGTACTCAGATGCAAAGAGCTCTTCAGCAACAGCAGGGGAGATGGATGAGGTACGTTTACGGGCCTCATGATGTGAGTCTGCTAGCTGAAGTTCACAGCTAATACAAGATTCACCTAAAACACAACGCAGTCGTTCGTATGCTTCTCCTTGTCTCTCCTTTGTGTGAAGAAGCTCCCTGAAATGACATTAAGCAGATCATAAATAACTGTCAGACAACATTGTCATGCCTGAATGTAGGCTACGCAGCCCTTAACCCTCTAAATGGCATTGTTGCTTATCTTGCTTGTTTTGATTAGGCACATGATGAGATAATTAAATATCAAGAAAAGGCAAAATTTAACATATAACTAATATACCCAGCTAGAAAATATACAGATATATAACCAACTATAACTAATGACATTGAAAGCAGAATATCTAGCAACGATACACATAAAATCTAACCATCTAACGTTGACATCACGTAACATGTTCGCTCTACCTTGTACAAATTAGACATCTGACCTAATTATGTCCAGGGAGATAACACCTCCAGTGAAATTTAATGCAATTTAGTTCACATTGTTGGATAGGTGGATTTGGTATAGTTCCTCAGTAGGTGTATTTTGTTGGACAGTACATTAAAATGACAATAATGCATTTAAACCTAGATCACAGCTTTTATTACTATTCACATAATAAGGTTGCCATTGTGCTACTAGATTTTGAACTCTATTGATACGAAATATTACTTCTGACACCACTTCCGATTAAGAATAATCCCTTGAGAGTATTAATATTTAATAACACAATGTAAAAGGAAACAAGAATACAAGATAACAGACAAGTTGTGTTTTCACTTCATAAATTTAGGGAGGAAAGAAAATATGCGGTTGGAAACAGCCTTGTACTGAGTTAAACTAACTAGAAGACTAGAAGTAAGATTGCATATATCTGTAGCTTTCTATAATTCTACCCTGCGCACGGTAGAATCCCTACTAATTAATGGTTGTAGATTGTGTTGTAATTGTTTTCTAAGTCTACTCTAATCTAGATCATCATTCTAGATATGAGTTACAGACTTATAACCAACATAAAACCTAAACAGAAAGTATGCTCATCAGAAACAGCATCATTTCTTCCCAAAAATTAAAAAAAAATATGTACTTGTATATTTTAAAGATTTCTTTTTGTATGCAAATTCAGTCTCATGGTGTTGCAATTTAAAGCTTGACAACAGAGAGAACAAAATGAATGCACAAAACAATAAAAAGGATTTATGGTAATCTTGAAGAATGTCAAACAATTATATAAATCATAATTAACAAATAACTCACAGGTTATCAGTGATAAAGAAGAGGTCCAGGACTCTGTCATCCGGAGTCGTCGTCACTTTCACCCTCTCAATATTGAGCTCAAGCTCACAGAGAACATGGGTAACATCTAAAAAGAGATGCAAAAACCACATTGAAATGATCAATAGAAGAAATACACAAACCTCTCAGTAAAAAAAGAGTAAGTATCACATAGAATATTACCATATAATAACCCTCTACGATCAAGGCAACAAAACTTTAACAAGTAAACAGCAGAGGACTTGGATGGTGGCGGTGGAGTATAATAAAATGACAAAGAGCATGACGGACAAAATGAAACAAGCCGTTCTTTTAGATTTTCCCATCGAACTGCATAAGTGCTAGAATGAGGAACCACCCACAAAACAACGTAGCACCACTTTCCATCCGTTGAAACATCTAACCAAAAAAAAAAAAAGGCAAGTGCAATATCAGACATAATACACCTAGCTACTTTATTTACAATCAGTTGATCATGTTTTTGCAGCACAAAACAGGAATATCTGTTTATTATATTCATAAACTAGGTACATAGCAAAAATGCTACAATGGAATTGGACCACTTATGTATCAACATCATCTTATCCTAATGCAAGCAATACCCTTAAAAAAGCTATATCAATGGCAAGATAAACAAGGTCGGACATCAATAATTAAATTATGGTCCCGAGCCAGGATACAGTTATCAGTACACTATACACAACCTCACCCCTATAAACATAATCATTTGTCTCGTAAACACATCAAAAGTCGAAAGCTAGACTATTAACATCATTCTCGACCAGGTGACCACACATTAGCTCATAAGAGTATATTCTCCTTTTTTTCTTTTTTTTTTTTTTTTGAAGAAATATTCTCTTTTTTCATAAGTTAGCCACCCACCATGTTAGGTGTTTATACTTATTCATAATCATACGTATACAGCATATCCATATTTTCAGCGCAAAAACAACAAATTATCCATGACAAACAAAATCAACTGTCCAACACATTGAGAAAATAATGCAAACTTTAACCACAAATCATAATTATTATTAACCCCTAATCTGATTCCCATATAATCAATTTCATTTAGTTAATTTAACAACTTTATCATCAAACCCATAACTTTTTCAACATGAATTTAGCCAATTATTAATTCAAGAAAATTCCCTTCCCCACATTCCAACATCTATTAAATATAAAAAAAAAATGCAAAAATTTAGTTCAAGATAAATGGCAGAAAACATGGAAAAAAATAAATTTATAAAAAAAAGTACCTCCTTTGGAAATGAAAAGGCCGAAATCAAGAATGGTGCGACAAATATCCAAACCAAGGCCAGATTTATCAGGGCAATTAACGGTGATAACCCAAGGATCACCGGACTTTTTCCCTCTCTCAATCGAAACGGTGTCGTCGTTAGGAATCCCCATTGAAGGACGGAAACCTAACGTTGAGATTGACGGCGTTTTGATGTCCAGATCCTCCGCGCCGCCGCCGCCACCTGCTCACAGAGTTTCGAGCTTACCGGATATTCAAGTATGTTCTATTTTACTTTTTTTTGAGCAAGGTTATAGACAGAGAAATTTGAGGCGGCAGAAAGTGAGTGAGGTTTATTAATTAAAAAAAAGGGGTACATGGAAGCCACGTAAGCAATCGTTTAACCACGTGGCAGTAGGGTGTTGGTTTAGTATATTCCGATTTTATTATTTTGTTTTATTTTATTTTTGTAGGTTGAATTGTTAGTAGAATGAAGTGCAAGTTGTATGGTTGTAAGTTTGTAACAGACTAGTAAATTGCGTCACTGGAGAATTCGCGCGAATTGGAAAGGGAAGAAGAAGACAATACAGTACTACAAAAGTGAAAAAAGAAATTTGTATATTGAACAAAAAATTTAAAATGATGAAAATACGTGTTTCTGATGAATCATGAAAGTGACTTTTGTTTCATTCTAGAGCCTTGAGTGCGAAATTATTGGATGCTATGATATTTTTCTTCAAGATATTACTAGTAATTGTAAAGTAGAAAAATACTTGAAACATTCTCTACAAAATCTCATTGTACTAGTCAAAAAAAATCTCATTGTACTTGATACTTTTTTTTTTTTTTTTTGAGAAGAATTTCTTTTTGATACTTGCATCACAGTCTATAAAAGAAAATATAAAAAATAAATTAAAAACTATTATAAATAAGAAAAACAATAAGGAACATAAAAGGAATCATACAAGTAATAAATAACTTCTCTATATAAGAAATGTTCATGGAATATATCTGCTCTTTCATTGATGTAAAAATACGAAATAAGATTCAGTCCAATAATGATAATGACAAATATTCAATCGCCTTATCATTGACTCATTGAGTCATCACGAAATTGACATTAATTTAATCAAGATTAATTTTGGGATTTTAATTCAATTACTTAAAGCACTATAGAATCTCTAACTAAAATATGGTCATAAATCAATATTACTCCTATTAATTTTTTTATACTTTTATATTACAGAATAATAGACAATAAAACATACTGGATGATCTAAGTAACAATTGACGTGTAAACTAATTAAAGTAATGTACTCATATAAAAACAGGATTATAAAGAAAAAGAAAATTTTTCAATAAAAGATCACAACAACATTTATAATCAGTATGATGCAAAACCCTATCATAAACTCCATTTTCTTAAATTTAATATTGCTTAAAACAAAAATAGGTTAACATCTGGTGCAACCACCATTTTTCTTAATTTATACACACATCAAAAGTTAGGTGACAGTTCCACAGAAGAAATACTTTAGTATAAAATGCAGCGAAGAAACGTCTAATCAAGAGGAGGGGGGGGGGGGATTTAAATGTAATATTCAATCAAGTTTTATTTTTCTTTCATAAGAACATTGTAATTTGTAAAGAAACATAAAACTAACATTGTCTGATGTTTAAGTGAAACCAACACATTCAAAAAAGTAGTCCAAGTGCAATTTTAAAAGCATAAAACTTAAGTAATTCAAGTGACAACCTGCACGGCTGCACCAAAACCTGGTAGAAGAATTGACAAGCAGAACAGGGAAATACAATCAAAGCATATATGGTGTGGAATTTCCTAGTTAAGAGTTCATTAACAAGATTTTTATTTGATTCATTCAGATAATAGTGACGTGAAAAGGACGAGCACAAGCTACTTGACAAACCACGAAAATGGAAATTTGAGGGCCACAAAACAGAGATGATATACTCCTCAGAAGCTGATATTTCAGGAACTTTTTTTGTTGGTCAACTAACCAAAGGTTTTGGAGTCCAAACGTAAGTAGCATAAATGACAAAACTCTATCCCACACAGACACACCACTATACCAGCCTCCAAACATCAGGACGACTAACTGCTGAAAGGTTCTGGAGTCCAGACATAAGTGACAAATGACAAATAGTACAGCTCTAGCCCAAACCACTATAACAGCCACCAATCTTCCCAAACCTCTTTACCAGCCACCAATCTCCCCAAACCACTATACCAGCCACCAATCTTCGGGACAACTACTTGCTGAAAGGTATCAATCAACACCAATTGGCTGTCCAACTGTTTCCCATACATAGTTGATCACACGAACTGATACCCCCAATAACATTTTGCCAACAGGTCATACTCCGTCTTGAAAGAAAACAGCTTGCCAACAGATCGTACTCAACCTTGAAATAACATAGAAACACCATTCTGTAAAAAGGAAGGCATGATCCTAACATAACCTGAAGACTTAAAATCTTTTCAGCTGGTTAACTAAGTAATGGCTATACCTAAAACTCAATTAACCACAAACAGCAAATTATCTTGCCTATTTTTCCAGAGTAGAGGCCCGAGGGTTACAAGTCTTTTAACCGAGAGTGCTGAAGTTCTAGGGGTTATTTAATGATGGTCAGGCGACTAGGCGTATCAACCAAAGGAGACAATGAGCCAATGAAGGACGGTTTGAAGGCCTAAAGTAACAAAAGGCGAAGCTCAAATGCCGCAAGTTGCTTGTTAGTCCTAATCTAAGAGTTGGCAGGGTCAGTCTAAGTACCTAAACCAGGTCTGATGTGGGCATTAGCAAAGCTGTAAGTGTCAAGACCATCAGGAAGCCTGGAAAGCAAACAGCACCCTACTCTTTGATACAAGTGTTTGACTGAACAATTACATCAGCTTCATAATGCATTATTAACTCTCATAAATGTAAGACATAGCATTTTTAAACAAAAACATTACACAACCCCAACACACAGATAATCAGGTCAATGACCATCAATGCACCATTTAAAGTGTCAATTAACTTGACTACAAAACCTGTATATATCATAATTAAAGGGCTTCTAAAATTCATGAAAAAAATTTCCTCATGGTTTCATTATCAACAAAAAAACATCCAACAACATAATCTTCAATAAAAGTTCAGAAGAAAATCTTAAGCATCAGCGCTTTTGTTATTCACCAGCCAGAAAAAGGCTTCCAACGAAGCACAACAATACATCAGCCATATCTAGTGCCTGAAAAATACAAGAAGCAATCAAACATAGTCCAGTTGACAATTTTGTTTCAGAAATAAAAAGGAAAGGAAAAAACATCAAAGTGATGAGAACTGCACAAGTATATGAGATAGAGAGACATGCATGGTCCAAGCCAATTACAGATAAGTTACCCCAATATAACAGAGAAAAAAACGTCCACGACATAACCACAATGCCTCTAAAGAGATTTCATCTTGATGGTGTCAAGTGAGATGGAGGTACACAATGTTATCGTCTTCTAATTGACCTCAAACTACGTAAACAATGACCATCTACTACTTCAAGAAAAAGATATGAAGTCTTTGCAGTTTAATCAACCCTTTTAATTTAGATCATTATTACACAAAAGGTGAGGATTCAGATATAATACTAAAATCCAGAAGAAAAGGGAACTAAAGTTCAAATTTTGTTTTTCCCTCTAACGTGGAGCATGCTCCTCCCTCCAATGTCATAAAAATGTGCACACTTACGCTAAATTATATTACGTTGTCAATATTGGTGGTCGTAATAAATGATACAAAAGGTGAGGACTAAGAGACAATCAGACAATGCTAAAAAACTAAGGAAAAAAGATGATCTAAGGAACTAAAGTTCAAATATAGAATTTCCCTCTAAGCATGCTCTCCTCAAATGTCAAAATAATGTACACCCTTATTCCAAAGTATATAAAGTAGCCAGTATTGGAGGTGAGATAAAAGTTTTACTAACAAAATCCTCTTTGTAGGGGTGTAAGTAATTCGGATTAAAACCGAACCGAACCGAACCGAAAACCAAACCGAATTAGTAATTCGGTTTGGATTTTTTTAGAATTCGGTTTGGAAAAATTTAAAAATATGGATTACGGATTGGATTTGGTTTGGGGTTTAAAAAAACCAAAAACCGAATTACAAACCGAATTTCGACCCATTACGTTAAGCCCATTTTTTTAAAAAAGTATCCAACCATTTTCCCCTTTCATATATAAACTTAAAAAAAAAAAAAAAAAAAAAAAACCTAATTTTCAATTCTCCTTTCTTAATATCTTACTCTCTCACAAAGAATGTTGTTAACAAGAAATGATTGTAGGATTTTCTGTGTGAAGTTCGGGTTTCGGATTTGAATGTTGCAAAAGGGAACAAATTTCGGTTTAGATTACATTCTAATTTGAAAAACCGAATTAATTCGGTTTGGATTGGATTTGATTGAATCGAATCTTAAATCGGTTTGGATTCGGATTGAGATTTCCGAAACCGAATTAATTCGGATTGGATTCGGTTTTGGCTATAATCCAAACCGCAAACCGAACTTTCACCCCTACCTCTTTGTAAGTTGATTTTTGTTCCACATGATCTGTCTATAGGTGAATAATTAACATAGCACAAAAAACTTTCTTAATGGCTTACTGGACACTGCTAAATATTTAAAAAAAAAAAATCTAATCACAGATGACCAGCTTCAAAGTTACACAGACACCCAGGGTTCACTCTTACTTGACATTTGACTCTGTATAATAAGAAGATAGCATTAAACCTCTAAAATGTAATTTTTTGAAAATCAAAGATATACACCACCTTCACCCTTCACTTTTACTTGATATTTTACTGTTTGTAATAAGAACTTAAGAAGATAGCATTACACCTATAGCTCGTAAACCCATCAACTAAACATTTAAAAATTAAAATCACATCACCAATAACTTTACTGACACACAAAAGGTCATGAAACTGCAATCTTATCCCCCTCTTCCCTACCACCAAATTTATCTCCTTTCTAGTATGAGACAAAGCAAGATGACCCAAAATTATCAATGACATGGAGGAGATGATGGTTAGTCCTCAGGCAACCATAAAAAGAGGCAGTCAATAGTTTCTGTGCAGCAATAAACAAGTATACGTCAAATGCAGGTGGAGGGGATGAGTGAATCTCCTATCCATTACGATATAAATCATGAAATAGAAATGACGCAAAAGGATGCTGCATTGCTGCCTAGGGTTCTCTCTGACTCTCCCCTTGTCAGTAATTTCTCAGCTACAATTAACTCCCTCAGTAAACAAGTAATACATCAAATGCTGGTTGAGAATAACAACTATCCATCACAAAATAAGCCGTGCAATTTAAATTAACATGAAACACTGCTTCCTTAGGCTCTCTCTTACCACCCCCACCCCCCCCCCCCCTCCTCTAAAATGTTGATGTAGCCAAAAACGAAGTCCAATGTTGAATCCCAAACCAACCCATTCTAGCTGCATGCAATTAAACTCGTCTATAACCTAATTACTATGTGTAATGAACAAATTATAGACAATAGATTTCAACAAAATAAAAATAAAATAAAGTCACCTTAATTCAACACGGCAATAACCAGTAATCATAACATTCTAGCGATAACTATTATGCAAATCCAAAATGACAGTATTCATAATCCAAATGAACAACATTTTATCGACAAACAATCTGCGCAATCCGACATAAATTAATAACTATAATATCAGAGCAAGAAATCAAATCCAGATTGACTAGCCAGTAAAAATCTCAGCTAAAACACAATCAAACATTAAACCTAACCCTAATCGAACAATATAACAAATTAAATTAAATTAAATCAATAGTGCATAAATTATAGATCTAGGGTTTGACGATTGCCTACTTTTTGTGCCTCTGAACAAATGGCGAGTTCTTCGCTTGCTCCTCTGCAAAAACAACAAATCAAAATCAAAAAGATGATAATAAAATCAAAATCGGTCATCAATACAATAGAATTGGCGAATTAGGGAAGAACGAGATAAGAAAATGGGAATACCAGTAAGACCAAGAGATAATTTGGTGATGATGGTACCGGTGACGGCGAAACCGACTAGAAAAGGCCAGTTACGATTCCATTCTCTCTTGAAGAAAACTGGCCATGGATCGAACTTCCTCCAAATTGCCATCTCTTTTCTGTTTCTCTCTCTTCGTCGATTTACTGTTTCTATCTCAGAGTCTCAAAGTCGCCTTCGCTTACTCTGGTTTTGGTTAAGTGGTGCTAATATATGATGTTTGTAGAGTTTATGAGGATATGGCTGAGCCCATTTTGTGAATTGGGTTCGTTTAGACAAATTATTTGGGTTTTGTGTTTGGGATTATGGTATGGGTATGGGTACGAATACGGGTATGACATGGTACCAATTACCAACACATGAAAATATGAAATATTACATATACAAGTCACCTAAATTAAGGTGACTCGATAGATTAATTAGTCACACCTTATATATAGGTGACTTTGAAAATCTAATTTAAGCCACCACATAAGTCGGGTTATAAAGTCACATGCATATATGCACGCAACTTGTAAACCTGTCAAACAACCTCGTGTATATTAGGTGACTCTGTACTTCTTTAGGTGCTTTGTTAATTATAACCCCAACTTAACAAGTCACATAATAAGAATGATTGTATGAGGCGACTCAATAGATTTATAAATAGCACCTTATATACAAGTGACTCTAAAAGACTAACTTGTTAGGTGCTTTATCATATGACCAATACATAATTAGTCGCCTAATGTGTAAGACATGACATTATAGGTTGATTGTTACAATTTATTTAAAATAGTTACAATCTCGTATAAATATAAAAAGTAACTTTGACATAATGGCAAGTACTTCAACCTTCCAAACAAAGAACTAGAGATCAAGTAGTCGGTAGCTATTGTGTTGATGATTGTGGAGTTGTCTTTGAGACGACTCATTAGGTCATTTACATGCGACTTCATATGATTTTTTTGTAGTAGTGATCATCACCCTTTATATTGTTTCGTCACTAAAATAAACGAAAACCTTAAGAGCGAATGGATAAATAAAGGGCATGATTAATCCCAAATAATTGAAGCCAAGGTATCTTTATTAACCGTGCTTGTTCATCTACACATAAAACACAAAACAACCACTTGGTACATCAAGGTGAGAAACTCGTATTTTCTCGGTTTTAAAGAGCATTAAGTGTACACAAGTCCAATAAACTACCACTATTAGAAAAAAGTAAAAAGGCACCGCTCAATTGCCACCGGTTTTTAAGAACCGGTGGCAAAAAACAGGGGAAAAATGGGCGGGGATATTATTGCCACCGGTTCGATTCGACAACCGAACCGGTGGCAATAATATCCCCTCCGGTTCAAAACCGGTGGCTTACTAATATAAAAAAAAAAAACGGCCCTTTAAATACCCCAAACCCTACAATTTCACCCACCATCAGTTGTTTCACACCCACCTCCCCTCATTCTCTTTCTCTTTCCTCGATCAGTTTTCACACCCTCATCCTCTCTCCTCGTTCAGCTCGGATCCCCTCTTCCCTCTTCTCCTTCATCCTCTCCTCCTTATATTTCTCTCTCCTCTCTCCCCTCTCCTCCTTCTCTTTCTCATCTTCTTTGATCTACACCACCACCGATTTTTCCACCACCTCGAAGACCACCACCGCAACAATAACATCACCACCGCAACAATAACACCACGAACACATGCATGAGCAACAATGACTTTAATCGAGGTTAGGGTTTGATTTTAATCGATTTTTATTTGACTTTAATTCGATTTTACTTTGATTTTAAATGATTTTAATCGATTTCTTCTAGGTTTTTAAATCTATTTTTTCGGGGTTTTTTATTAGAATTTTTTTGGGTTTTCGAATCGAAGTTTTAGGTTTTAAATTCGGTTTTTATGTGATTTTAATCGATTTTCTTCGATTTCTTCTGGGTTTTTTATTAGAATTTTTTTGGGTCTTTTATTAGATTATTTCTGGGTTTTTTATTAGAACTTTTTTGGGTTTTTAATTCGAAGTTTTGAGTTTTAAAATCGATTTTAATTCGATTTTTATGTGATTTTAATCAATTTTATTCGATTTATTCTGGGTTTTTCTGGTTTTTAAATCGAATTTTTCTGGGTTTTTTAAATCGAATTTTCTGAGTTTTGAAATCGATTTTAATTCGATTTCTATTCGATCTTCTTATAGGTTTAATTCGATTTTAATTATGGCTACATGCTTTTTCTGGGTTTTTTTTTAATGATTTTAATCAATTTATGGATACGTGCTCGATTTATAGATACATGCATAGTGTTCTGAGTTTTTTTTCGCAGCTTATGTATATTAGTCGATTTATTTTTTTTGTTTTGATTGATGCAGGTATATTGATTTAGATCTTAAATCGAAGAATCATGATGCAGGAATATTGTTTTTTATGTTGTATGGGGTTTTTTGTGATTTTGATGCTGTAACTTTTTTTTATTTATATGTTGTAATTGATCAATTTTATTGATTTATATTGTAAATAAAATTTCGATTATATAGATTGATATTGTTTGATTTATATTTTGATGTTTGTAATTTTTTTTACTGAATTGTTCTGTTATATTTCTTTTTGAAAAAGACAAAAAAAATGTATACATGTTATTGCCACCGGTTAACCGGTGGCAATAATAATTAATACCCAAAAAAAAAAAAGCGTGAAACGATATTTGCCATCGGTTAACCGGTGGCAATACCTCTTTTTGCCACTGATTTTGAACCGGTGGCCTTGCTTCGCAGTATTGCCACCCCCCAAATGACCACCGGTTCAAAACCGGTGGCATTGGGGGGTTTTGAACCGGTGGCCAATTCATATTTTCGCCTAGTGTACTAATCACGAGTAGCTAATAAATAAGCTCAAATCAGTTACAAAATTGTCATTTGACTAGTCTAAGGTCAAATTAGTTAATTGTCATTTTACTTAGGTTGTGTTTGGTAACTAGCTTAATAGAGAAAAAGTAGCTTATTTGACCAACATTAACTTCTTGATATAAGCTAATTCAAGGAGTTTGGTGAGATACCACAACGGTTTAAATGTAGTAGTTTTAGCAAAAAGATACCACAAGGATTTAAAGCTAGTGATTTTAACAATACAACCATACATAAGAATTGTCTCAAATTAACCGCTAAATTAAAATTTTAATTTACAAAAGATGAAAAATATTATTTTGTAGCTAAATTAACCATCAAAAAATTATCAAAATGTATAAATGGTGTCAAGGTATTTACAAAATTACAATTTTTTTTAAAATTTTTTTTTAGGATTACAAAATTACAAGTTTTGAATACTTAAATTATTATTAATTTTTTGTTACTTAATTTATATATTAAGCATGTCGAGTTTAGGTTGACGGGTTGTTGTTCAACCCATTTATATAATCGGATTATGCATGTCGGTTTTGGGTTGAAAGTTTCAACGCAAACCTAGCCCTGTTTAAGTTCGTGTAGTGTTCGCGTCGACCCAATTATGTAAACGGGTTAGGTTTGGGTCTAGGGTTTTTCAACCCCTTTAATATCGACACGAACACGAACCCGACACGACACGACACGTCATGTTTGTCAGCCATATTAAATTCTTTTAATTGGTTAATTTAATTCTTATGGTGAAATGACACTTGTATCCCCAGTTCATTTAAAATCCTATATGAACCACCTACCCAACAATGCCACAATTAGCTAATAAATAAGCTAATAAATAAGCTCCTTCAAATAACTTATCGAGAACGAGTTTATATGGTGGAATAAGCTATTTGAAGTTTTGAGCTAGCTTACTCCAATTAACTTATTGTAATTTAATTTGAAAGTTTAATCAAATAATAATGGTCAAATAATCTTATTTAAACATCTTCATAGTTATTTGATTATTTGACCAATATCAGCTAATTAACCATTACAACTTACAACAAATTTACAAGTTACACCTTAATTAATAATATTATTTTTTTGCTACTTAATTAATAGAATTAAGCGTGTCGAAAAATCAAGTTATGCCTGTCGGTTTTGAATTGAAAATTTCAACCCAAACCTAACCCATTTAATTTTGTGTCGTGTTTGTCTCAACCCAATTATATAAACGGGTTAGGTTTGGGTCAAGGGTTTTTCAACCCGTTTAACATCGACGCGAACACAAACCCGACATGATACGACATGTTTGACAGCCCTAGTAAACTCTTCAGTTAGTTTATTTTATTTTTATGGTGAAACGACAATTATACCCCCATTTAATTTAAAATCCTATATAAACCACCTACCTCACAATAAGCTTATTGGTCATTTCACATAATCAATTAGCTTTAAACAATCAACTAATAAAATAAGTTAGTCAAATAAGTTAATATAATCAGCTAGTTAAAATCAGCCAACACAATCAGATTCGGTTATTAGCTTTCAGCTTTTCCCTAAACACGACCTTAATAATAATAAAAAAAAAACACTCCAATAAGCTGATGAATAAGCTCCCTCAAACAACTTATCGAAAACGAGTTTATCATATGGATTAAGCTATTTGAAGTTTTGAGCTAGCTTACCTCAATTAACTTATTGTAATTTGAAAGTTTAACAAAATAATACTGGTCAAATAATCAAATTTAAACATCTTCAATTCTTCATAATTATTTGATTATCTGACTAATATTAGCTAATTAACCATTACAACTTACAACAAGTTTACAAGTTACACCTTGAAGATTTGTGAAATAAAAAGGCCCAAAAATGCATATTACACCTTGAAATAGAAGTATAGAATCTTAAAAGCTTTTCCCAAATTTTGTTTTTGGAAAAACTTGAAATATTTCAAAAACAATTCAAAAATTTCGCCTCCCCCTGTGTTTTCCCACAACCCCGCCACTTCAAAACTTAAAAAAACACAACTTCCACATCGCAATCCGCACAACTCCACCTCACATACTCCTGACCGTAGATTAAATCCAATCAACGATCCAAAACAACCCTCACCCACTCACACGGATAACCTCCTACAACCGTTCGATTAAAACCAATCCTCAACACCAAATCATCTCACCACCCAAAAACCCGGCAGTTATAAATACCCTTTTTAACCCACATCAACATTCACACATCTTCATTTTCACGCTCTCTCTAAAACAACAATTTCCAGTTTTTCAACTTTTTCTCTCTAGAACAAGAATGTCAGGAAGAGGAAAGGGAGGCAAGGGTTTGGGAAAGGGAGGAGCAAAGCGTCACAGGAAAGTTCTTCGTGATAACATCCAAGGTATCACTAAGCCTGCTATTCGTCGTCTTGCTCGAAGAGGCGGTGTTAAGCGTATCAGCGGTCTGATCTATGAAGAGACACGTGGCGTCCTCAAGATCTTCTTGGAGAATGTGATTCGTGATGCTGTGACTTACACTGAGCATGCGAGGAGGAAGACGGTGACTGCCATGGATGTTGTGTATGCTCTCAAGAGGCAAGGAAGGACTCTTTATGGTTTCGGTGGTTAGGTTGAGTCTAATTTGGGGTTCTAGGGTTTGGGGGTGATGAATTGGGGGAAATGTGGTTGATAAGAAGTAGTTTCTGGGTTTGGTGAAATTAGGGTTTAGAATTTGTAGATCTTTTGTGTTTTGATGGCTATTATTAGGTATGTAGTGGTGGTGTTATGCTTGTAATTGTTGGTTATGATTTAATGAAATGAATATCTCGTTCAATCTATTATTTGTATTCAGCCATTAAGTTTGTTGTTTTTCATTCTTAATTTCGCACTAATTTTTTACGTTTTTTGAATTTTTCTGCGAACTTTAATAATTATTGGTGTTGCGATGACCAAATGGCTACTGTATTTGGACACTGTTATCGATCAATTGGACATCAATTTTTAGGGCAGATTGATTGTTAGAGTTTAACATCTATTCTTGAAATTTTAATTTGAGCTATATTTACACAGTTCTTGATTATTTATGTGATGATTTGGGATAAATAATGTGATTTAGGGTTTATCATTTGTGATTGTTTGATTTGCTTATCACAAATATACAATAAAATTGAGTGTCTCAAATTAGGTGCATGTGTCGAAAGAATATGTTAGTGCAGATTGCTGAATTTCTTATGTTTGTTGATTGTTGGATAAGGTTCTGGGTTTTAAGTTGACAGATAAAAGCAGATTAATGCCATGACATTATAGGTTCATAATTTTTTTTTACGGATTGTGATAACAAGTTATTGGAGCTACTGAAAATCGTTAGCAAAATTGTAAATCTCAATTACCAGAAAGTTGAAACGGACGACAACAATGAACGAAAGTTATCAATAATGTCAATGAAAATTTGGTATGAAAAACTTCATATATTGATATCGAAAATGAAAAAATAGGGGAACAGTCCCCTTAAATTATTTTTGACACAAAGGATAAAGCAAAATGGTAAGAACAAAGCAATCCTCTACTTTTGAAAAACACTCACAAAAACGCTCACTTCGCGAACTTTTCTTTTACAGATTCCGCCATTTTTCACCCCTCCTATAAGACTCAAAGTTGCCTTATTCATTTCTTGGGAACTCCGAGCCTCAGGCGGAAGTCTTCTTCCATAAGCGGGAGTCCTTCCCTTAATTTCACCTTTGGCTCCCAACCAAGCAATTCCTTGGCTGATGTGATATCTGGCTTCCTCTGTCTTGGGTCATCAGGGGTGTTCTCCACTGAGATTATCTTCACATCTGGATTGATCAGCTGCAAAATATAGCCAGAACACGACATAAATATTCCATCCATCGACAAAAAACGAAGCTGAGCAGGCAAAGGACCACATGCATATTCAGAAACTCAATTGTATACTCAACACACAAGATGAACACTGAAGGACATCAACATTCTTTCAAAACTTGTACAATCAACACACCATATAAAGCTCGAACAATATTGCCAGCCAGACATAAAACCCCTTCTTTAGAAACACTCATAAGCTAGAGAGTATGGAGTTAAAGTGAAATACACTAACAGTACTGGAGGTCCATTATCTAATACACTAACAGCACGCAAATACAAACAGGTTGCAATTTTCTTATTTTCCCACGCTCATAAGCTAGAGAGTATGGAGTATAAAGTGAAATACAATATTTGCATTGAATGCTTCAACAAGTGAGTGACAAGCTTAATCAATTTAGGTTGATCTGTAAGCAGAAATGTTAAGAATAATCAATCAATGAAATTGCAATTATGGGCCCAGCCACCGCAAATGACACTCATCTAGATTAAGGTTGATGTATACGGAGTAACATAATTGTTCTTTTGCAAGATTTACGCGCTTATATGAGGATTCACTTGAAGTGCAATACACTCAAGGGCGTAGGTAAGAGCAACAACATAATTTTTCAACGTACCTCTTTCACAGTCTCAGCAAGTTCAAGCATGGTGAATTCACCTAAATACCAGCAAAGGAGTTAGCAATGATTTTTCTTTCTTTTTTTTTTTTTTTTTTTTTTTTTTTTTTTTTTTTTTAAGAGAGCCAAACAAAAACAAAGAAAATATAGCAGAGCATCATTACCAGGGTTGCCAATGTTGATTGGCCCAGTGTGCTCTCCTTCCATCAGTCTGATCAGACCATCAACCTGTAGTACAATTGATTGTGTTCAAGAAACAATTACTTGTTGCTCTACAAAAATATAAATACATATAATACTCAAACACAAAAAACAATCACGCACCATGTCAGACACGAAACAGAAACTACGAGTCTGAGTTCCAGGAGCCTGAACTGTCAGTGGCTCATCCCTGCACAAGGAAATATAACGGTACTAAAGCATAAAAAAACTGGCCAATTTGATCTCATAAGTGACATCCAATAGATGATGCAGTAACATGAAAAGAGAATCACGCACAACTAGCAATTCAACATCTAATTAAAACATTATTATTTTCCTTCTCCCCTCAAGTTTCAACTCAGATATATCCTAAATACTTAGATGACCAATCAGATTTCTAAACACGGGCTTAAAGTTAAATTCGGGCCCTTTTCAGAATCTACGAGACTTCAACATAAGAATTACATCAAAAGTTGTCGAACTTCTAGAAAGGTGTAAGACTGTCAACCAATAACAGGATATTAGCTTACCTAAGTGCTTGAGCAATGAAGTTGCTGACAACACGGCCATCGTCGATGTTCATCCGAGGCCCATAAGTATTGAAAATTCGGGCTACACGAATTTCTGTTTCACAATGCAATGGAAAAAACAGCTCAAAATCTAGATCTTTCTAAGTAGAGTTAACTCAAGAAAGGTAACAAGCATACCAATCCCGTGTTGCCTGTGATAATCAAACATCAAGGTTTCAGCTACACGTTTTCCCTCGTCATAACAGCTCCTAACTCCTGTTGGACAAAATAATAAACAAATTTAGTTCTCAAACAGATTATATCGTTAAAATGTCCTGCACCCAAAGAATATTTCAGCAAATATTTAAACACTGTAAGTGCATACCAATTGGGTTAACATTTCCCCAATAAGTTTCAGGTTGAGGATGGACAAGGGGATCACCATATACCTCTGATGTTGAAGTAAGCAAAATCCTGCAGAGAGTACAGAAGCAAAAGAGAGATGGTAAAATTTATTGCATGTTACATATACCCACAATGATGTAGAAAAATAAACCCCACAAACCTGGCTCCAACACGCTTGGCAAGTCCTAGCATGTTCAAAGTACCCATCACATTTGTCTTGATTGTCTGTCAGATATAAAATGTTCAGATTTAATAACTGTATAATGCCAAATGAAAGGGAGAAAAAACCTCACTAATTCACACAATAAAATCTTATTGTGGCCATCAAAGCATTAGTTTTTTTAAAACATCAGCAATTTTAAGCTGTTTAGTATCGAGCGTCACAAGCAATCTTCAGAATTCACATAACATAGTTAGAATGTACTGTATCATACTCCACAAGTCTTACTAAGCTACCCTTTGCTTACATGTGATCATAAATTGTCAATTAACTGCCCTAATACAGGAACTTTAATACGTGTGAGACCGTGAGCTAGAGTAACCGTCTTGCTGTAAGCATTCTGGCTCGTAAAACTCACTGAGCTTATTGACAATTGAGTACTGAAAGAAAAAGCTATAATTCTTTATGAAATGGTTTAATAGGTCATATCATGTGTAGCTACCAGTCTGCCACCTACCAATATCCATGAGCAGCACAGTGCAACGAGAAAAAGTCTTGGTTCAGAGGGGACTGAAATTGGGCTTGGCAGGAAATTGAAAATATTTAGAGTTTAGACCATCTTCAAAATATAGTACAATAAGCTGTTATGTCCCAAGTGAGCACAAAACACCACACGGAAACAAGCCTCAGAGTTCAGAGAAGGCTGCTTTTTGAGGTTTGAGGGAAACTAATGATATTGTGACTTAAGAATGTTAAAATTGTAACAAGTCCATCCTACACTAACACGTCATAAGTATGGGTGGAAAAAAATTTGTAACAAGTCTGCCCTAAAATACCATTTCATTAGTGTGGGTGATAAAATGAATTCAACAAGGCGGAGGCATTTCTGACTATTCTGAGGATAGATCAGACACATTCAGATGCCGATGCATTTCTGACGATAAATCAGCACACATGCATTTTATAGACAGCACAGTGAACTTCCAGAATATTATGTCCAAATTGGACACAAAAATCAACATGATTAAAACATATGCTTCTCAAATAGTGGAAGCAGAAGTTCAAGCTAATTGCACATTTAAGAGGTCCAACTACAAATCAGAAAATTAGATTAAACCTGTACTTACTTTAACAGGGTTGTGCTTGTAAAATATCGGCGATGCAGGGCATGCAAGGTGATATATCTGATCAACCTCTATTAGTAATGGCTCTGTAACATCTGCAGGCCAAAAAAAAAAAAAACAATTATGAAACTTAAAAAAACATAACTAGCGAAAATATTACAACACTTCAAGTTCCAACAGAACATGCACAAGATGCAGTACAATAATGAACTCTCCGAGTGAAGTGAAGATGTAAAAATGTCGATATATACGCTATTTTCATTCGGCTTGCTGACTTATTATTAAAATAAAAGTAACATAAGAAGATTATTTTAAATGCTAAATAATTTCCGGAGGCATATTAAACACCGCAGAAAGAGAAACATCAGACACAGAAGGCAGCCAACACGATTAGAGGGCTGCACTATGTTTATGAAAATGAAAGAGTAAAGGAGCAACTTTGCTAAATTTCCACAATGTCAACCAGCTGAAAAAAAAAAAAGCCCTACTGCTCTATCTTAAAACAATCAAACACAGAATTACTCTCCGAATTATCCATACAACATAAGGTTCTTAGATTTAAGGCAGATTAAAGTTAATTATACAACATAAGTGACGATCAAAAATAGATAAACAGGATTAGTACCATGACGGATCAGCTCAAACCTCGGGTGTCCAATCCATTTCCTAAGGTTGTCCTTTGAACCAGTAAAGTAGTTATCAACAACAATCACCTGTTAAAATATCAAAAATCAAATTATATTAAACGTGTGAGACAAGATGAGCACTTTCCTGTCTGCCCACCTCCAATTCCCTCAAAGGAACAAGAACAAGAGCAAGGAAAAGAGGAAACATGCATTACGCACTAAGATTGCCGTATCTTTTCCCTTCATTGATCATTAGTTGATAGAAAAGAAGCAAGTTGGGAAAACATGCTCACCTCATTCTTTTCATTTTCCATCAATCTATCCACCAGATGGGAGCCAATAAATCCTGCTCCTCCAGTGATCAAAATTCTCATGTTTGACTGCCATCACAAGACAAAAAAGGTAAAGCATTTAGTAAAAATGTGAAGAAAAAAAATATGCCAATACCCTCTCTTCTACCACAGCTCAACAACCATCACAGTCCCTCATTCATGATCAAATTGAAACTCTACAAAGTATGGTACATTGCTTCATCATCAGCATTGCACAACAAAAATCAAGCTCATCAGTCATCATCATACTATACAATGACGAAGCGAGAGCACTACCGACTTACAATCACAAAAATAATTGATTGATCATCAATCAGTAAAAACAAAAACATAACAAACCATTCACATTACCCCTCTCCTAATGGATACAATCAACATAGCACATCAAAGTACAGCCAATATTTTCCCTAGTGGACAACATTGTTGCAATACTACCCACATCCTGTTTAACAAATTGGAGATCAACCCACTACAAGATCCACTCTTTTTTCATCCAAATCAAAGATACCAATCATAACATTTAACTCAAATTGCAAATATCAACCAAGTATAAAAAAAAAATTAAAAAAAATATCTATAAAATCAATAAAAATTACCTGAAAAAATTTAGAATTTCTTAATGGAGAAGGGGGTGGAGGTGGCTTGGTTCCTGATTGCTTCTCTCCGTTGGATGCCATTTCTCAGATCTCCCACTCAATCAATTTAATGAAGACCTACAACACAAAAGAACAGAAAATTTATGATGACAATTAATTTAATGGGGTCCAGAAAAAACCACCTAAGCAAAATTTATACATTTATAAATAGAAAAATAGAAAATTATAAAAGGGGGAAATCGGGAATTTCTAATAAAAATAAAAAAACATTAAAGAGGGGGAGCAAGAAAAGTACTTTGGACTGAAAGCAAGAACGAAACCCTAACTTGTAATTTGCGATTGATGAAAAAAAGAAGATCAAAGAATGGAGTATATATAGTGTGATAAACAAAAATAAATAGTATGATCCACAATTCAGAAACTTCCCTTACCAAACGTCGCCAAACTCACATGCCAGAGGAGAGAGAAAGCGCGATATTTACGCAATTTGATTAATTTAAATTAAAATCCCAAAATTGAACAAGAAAAAAGATTTGAAATTGAGGGCTTTTTTCATAGTTAGCTTCAAATTCAAGAAAAGGTCGGGAACACCAATCAAAATCATGATTATGATTGTTATGCTAACAATTAGAAGACATTGAAATTACGCCTAACTTAGAGTGACAACTACTTGTTCATCATAATAATAATTATAATTATTAAATAAAGATCCATTTTTTAAAATTAAAATTCAGAGGTTTCTTACCAGATTTTGGCAGTGTGAAATTCAGGAAAAGGGGAGAAATTATTGAGAGAAAAGATGAGAAATTGACATAAATTATAAGGAATTGTGATGGAAGATATGAAAACGTGAGGAGATATGCTTAAGGAATCCTAAAACAATGCGATACCATAACTGTTGAGTCTTGACTCTTGACTGATCCGTTTTGATGTGAGTCTGGCTTCTTTCAGATTCCTATTGGAAAATTAGGAAAAACAGATTTACTGTATTTATTTTTAAAAAAATATTTCTGGGATTAAAAAAAAGTGAGTTTATCCTATCTTAGAAAATTGCCAAATATTTTGGCAAAAAAATTCGAAATAGATAAATCTATTTACAAATTCGTATTTTCTTCAACTAATTTATACTTATCTAATTAATTATGGAGTACCGACTCTAATTTTAACGGATTTTAGTATTATATAGAGTAGTTTCGTAAAAAAAAAAGTATTATACAGAAACTAGTTAATTATTACACTCTTTGTTTTTAAATACTGACTTCATTTCTATATTTCGCACTATTCGATTGTCGACTAATGTTTGTGATTTATATATAAGAAAAAATATATATTTTGTGGGTATTTATTGGAATCATCTCAATGAATAGATTTTTAATTTTTAATTGTTATAATTTATACTTATTAATAATTAAAGATGTAATTGATCAAAGATTAACATTGACATACGTATCCAAGAAAAATGGAGCAAATATTTAAAAAACTGTGTAGATATCTTTTATTTTTCATTGAAATTGTTAGTCCATATCTCATGTCATTTGAATTTATCTAAACTTATCAAAAGATAAAAAGTCATGAATCTTATGATAATAACAAAGCTTAATTTATCCCTATTATGTAGTCAAATTCTGTTCTATGTTTGTATGATCGATCTTTTTCATGTGGTAAAACTATCAAAGTAGGATAGGAAAAGCATGAGGTCCTCGTGCATGATTTATTAGGCCGTCTTTGTCAAGCATGCTCATAAAAGTTGTTAGAGTAGATGTGAATTCTTCCCATACAACCTAATTAAGCTGATAACTAAAGCATTATTGGAAAATTACTTGTTAAGCACTTATGTTAGTTTGGTGGCTGTACTTTTCATTTCTTATAGATCTATTTTCAAAGTATCCAACACATACTACATTAAGCTGTATATTTGTAGCTTTTTCTTGTAAAAAATTATTATTTAACCTCCTAAAATCAAAGTTTCCTATGACATGAAATACCTTTTATGTTTTACCGTACCACAATCATGAGTTGTGTTATTTAAATTATACATAATCCCTCTATTGTTTGTCAAGTATTGTTTACTTAGATCACGATTATAACTTTGATTGTTAAAATTTAATTTATCTTTCCTTCTTAAATCTTTGAGTTTAGTACATATAATTTTTTTTCTTCGTATGTCCATGCATTATATATATCTGGAAAAAAAAATACTCATAATATCATCAAATTTGTCATGTTGCCTTTTCAAATTTGAAATTTAGAAACAAAGTTTCATCTTGCATATAGATTGATGATTATATTTAAATGGAAAAGGGAAATATTATATTGGAGTGGAGGTTCCAGCACTATAATAACCAAAAAGTTGAAAGATAAGTAAGATAACAATTACAAGACTAACACTAAAGTGGCTGTAGTTTAGTGGTTAGAATTCCACGTTGTGGCCGTGGAGACCTGGGCTCGAATCCCAGCAGCCACATTTTTTTTTTAAATAATAAGACACAATAATCAAAACTGTATGACCATTGAAAAAAAATAAATTCAAAACTGTATGTTATTATTTGAGCTAGCAAAACATTGTCAAGATTTTACACCAAAATATATGGTGTTATGATCCAACAATGCAATGGTTTTCTAGCTACCACTTTCTATGAAATTAAAGGAAATTGATAGAGAATATACTCTATTGTTAGAAGATACAGTTTAATGTACTTTACATACATTTATAACAAAACTTCATTATTTTGCAAAGACAAGATAAAGTTTTTTTAAATTTAGTAAATTCATATCAATCGTATAATGCATGAATTTTACATGACATCTCATGTAGATTTATTTGACTAGTAGGATTTTCCCACTGAACAAGTTCCTTAATTCCTTTCTCAACCTCTTTTGTTTCCCTCATCAAACAGCTTAAGCAAAATCCAAGTGCACTTAAACTCATGATAGCTTGACTCTTGATCTCTTCATCTCCCTCAGGGAACTCGATTTCCTCGAATACTTCCTTGGAATGATCAAGGTACGAGCTTATGAATTTCTCCATATCTTTCTCACCCAAGTTCATTAATGGAAAGTTGGCCGATTTTCCCACCTCAAGATCACATCTTTTACCACTTTTGGCAAGGTCATTTTCAAGAACTATCAATGACTTGATAGAAGCAACTTCTTGGAAGGATTTCATCGAAGTAGCTACCATTTTTACTACATGCCTTAGATCATCGTTCATCCTCTCCAATTCAATGCTTTGGATATGCTCTTCTAGGAACCCAATAGCATGAGCTGTGAATATCAAGAGATCACCCATTTTCGCGAAAGGACCCATCAATTTCCTATAACAAGAAGTATGGAATGGCAAATACCAAAAATTGGGCTCTGCCTCAGCCTCACCAACATATTTATCTAGCTCATTAACTTGAGCTTTGATGCTTTTCGCCTTCTCAAGTAACTCGACCTTGGAAGAAGTAACGAGATCAATAGAAGAGATCGAATCCTCGAGTGTCCCTAGAGTCTTGGTAAGTTGAACTTTGGCTAGGGTGGCTCCTCTAGTAGGGTGTAACAACAAATCAATAACAATAGAACAGGACAAACCAATAAAGGTTTCCACTATTCTAGCTATAGCAAAATCTGATGGTGGGCCGAAATTTCTTCGGCCCAAAATCAGAATTGCACCTATAACTGCAGAAACAGCACCTGCTTGCCCATACATTTTGCTCTGTTGAAGAAAGCTGGTGAAAATAAACCAAGGAAGAAGTGAAATGAACCTAATTTGTACAAATCTTTCGAAAATAAAACAACCTAATACTCCATATACATTGCCAATGACTGTCCCTTGGAACTTAACATTGGCAACTTTAAATGTGGCTTCTCTAGCTGCTGCAAAACTCACAGCTACAGGAAGCCCAGACCAATATCCATTGGGCTTACTGTAATAAAGCCCAAATAACACGGAAAAGCCCAACGATAGTGAGCAATTTATTGCTATGGTAAGCCTTTCTTTAGCAGTGGGCCAGTTGTTGGCCCAAATACTTTTCAAAGAAAACCCATTTTGGTTTTCATTGTTTTTGTTTAGGTGTTGTTGTTGGTTCTTTTTTTGAGGGGTGTTTTGGTCAGTTTTTTGTTGGTTTGGAGGAATGGTCATGGCCCTTGACTGAGAGTGCAAGAGTTTCATACAGAAGAAGAAGAAATAAGAGGGTAAGTCTTTCTCGTTTGATGGCGGTGTTTCGAGTTTTTGAAGGAAGCCCATGACTTGTCCTTCAGTGGATTCTGGGACAGTTATTGTTTCACTAGGTGTATGGCTCTTAAGTTGGTGTAAATTTTGGCTTATTTCACCTTCTATTAAGTCCATACCATCTTTCAATTGTTCATCAACAATTGAAATAGGTACTTTTGTGTTACTTAGCGCGATATCCATCCCTCTTAGTGGCGTCTCTAGTTCCTGGAACCGGTCCCCTGGGTTCGTACAATAAGGTCTGATAAATTTCAAGGGAAATCTCTCCCACTGCATGCTTTCCTGCTCAAACAAAAATATAATGAAAAAAATAAAAAAATATTAGTGTTGTTGATCATTTTATAACTTTATTTTACTCATTTGATAATTTCATAGTATGAAAAGGTAATGTTACCTGTTTGGATTTAATGCACTGGATAAATTTCTTGGCTTTACCAGCTAAACACCTTGTTTGAGAGATTAATGCTTGAGAAGTTACATCATCTTGAGCACAAAATGCCTTGACAAACAGCTTTAGCCTATCTGTCGCGTTCTCTACAAATAATTTGCTATTTTTGGTCACCTGTATTACATACATAAACACTTTTCTTAATATATTTACCATATATGCACAATAATATTACTAGGAAAAAAGGATTAATAAATTGCTACTACTATTGTTAGTATAATTAATTAGCAACAAGTATCATGAATTTCATCTGTAAAATAAGTAAGACTTAATCATGAATGAGTAAAATTTACCTGGGAGGAAGCAAGGTGAGGGTAAGGAAGCAATAGAGCTAAGAAACAAGCGACAGCACCAACGGCGGTGCTAGCAGCAACATGGACAGGATGCATGACAGCATCAAATTGATGAGCATTGATGTAACCAACAACATAGATGATGATAAGTTGGCCCAAAGCAATCCTCTTGGCTACAACATGGGTTGATTGAGGCAACGCGATAAAGAAAGCAGCAATAGCAACGACCAAAGAGGTAGATGCCTCGGTAAGGCTAGAAGGTCCTCCTATGAGCCAGAGGCACAAAATAGCAGGGCAAACAGTTTGAAGAGTAGCATAAAATGCAAGCCAGAGACCTCGGATTGTGTCTCCTAGGGTAGCATTGGTTATAATAAGAATCATCGCGACATATGAAAATGCAGGGAATGTTACTTCCCTCTTGAAAGAGGCAGGGCCATAGAGGGTTAAGCACCCTACTATAATGCAAGCCAAGGCTGTTCTTGAGGCCGCGACTAGGCCTGATTTCCAAAACTCGCATGCTCTCTTAGATTGCACGGTGCTAAACATAGCTAGCATCAATCGATGTTAATTAATCTGGTCTTGATTAAATTAGCTAGATCACAAAGTTTGAACTTGTTATTGGTTGAAAATTATTCAAATAAAGTGATCTAGAGAAACAAATTAAATGAAGAGAGGAGGCTTTGGCCTTGGAATGAACTTAGCTTGAGAGGAATGAATTACAGAGGGGGTATTTGTAGGAATATATAACATGTTAGTTGTTTTAGTGGTAAACAATCTATAGTGACATTTCTTTTGTGGGACCCACCTTGTTGCAACAGACCAGTTACAACTTTTTTTTATTATTTTTTTTTATACGTAGAAAAGAAAAGAAAAGAAAATCCATTATAAATAAAGAATTAAAAATATAATTAGTATTGCTTTTTTTTGGAAAATGCTGTATTGTGTTTCCATTTGCTAACTGAAGGTTCTGTTTAATTTAGCATCAACTTGGATAGATAAGTCGAATCACGTATAAAATACTTGTACTACTATTTTTCTTTAATTTTATTTTTATCCAATCCTTTGAAATTGACGGTTGAAGAATTGGATCCTCTACTCTCCAATAATATTAATGCATCATCTTAAAAGTTGATATATTTACATGAATAATTCACCATGTTGTATCAATGGAATTTTCTGGTACCATTTATGCTAGTCCTATTATGTGATTATGTGCTTCAAATCAAAGAAGTTGTCTACTTATTTGACATTTGATTTTAAAAAGTGCCTTAGAATCTAGCTTTTGGAACATCTTTTACTCAAACTTTTGCACAATATATACAGACAATACAGTAGCTGGACTAAATATACTACCTTAGGAAATACGAGTGCAACCGGTTAATTCTACATGAACATATATTATTAGATGATCTTGAATCAAATTTAATTAAAAATCATCCAAAAATTACGTAGTATATCACTTTCTTTATATACTTAGTAAGACATGCATAAGGACTCCATCCAAACTTTCTCATATGATTCTTACTTGAATAATGTATTTTATTTTAGGTCTTTCTTGGTTCCTAAATAAGAAGGTATGAACCCCAATTACTTAAGGCATATTTCTTTTGAAATTAAGTAATTTAATTTGTAGTTTTTATAGGTAGTACGTTTCTAGAAAATTCGTACTATAATTAATTGACATCTCTTTGATAATGAGTTTTAATTAATTTGCATATTTTACCTAGAAGTATCAATTTATGAGTTGTCAAAAAACTAAAGAAATTACGTTAATGATTAATAAATGATTATCTTAATTAGCTCTATCATTGTAGAAGCATTCGACAAATAAAAAAACTACAGTTGCTTTGTCAGATTATGATCGATCACTATTCACAATATACAAACAAAGTCTTAGTCGTAATGTCAAAAAACTAGTCATATTTTGCGCTGCAAAATCTAGTGAATGAGGAAGAGAAGTTTGAATATACATAAGCCAATTAAAACTTATTGTAGATTGACATGACATGAATCACAGTAAACTTATTGTAAGTCAAGTTAGCTAGAATGGACTTATTTTTTTTTGACGGAAAAAAAAATGGCCTATTATTAATGTAATTGAAAAGACTTACAAAAACTAAACTCTTAATTTTAATTACATACGGACTACGGAGTACAACTAGTTCACAAATAATTAGTCATCGTGTCATTTTTTCTAAACCTAGTCGATCATATGATATTAACATTGCTAGCAGTCACCTATCCCAATCTATGACACAAAATTTTCAATAACAATTGCGACATGCATGGAAAAATAGCCTATTTTCCATCAATTATAGAATATTCTAGAATGATGCATGGTAATATATAATAAATCATCATAAATAACTATCCATAAAAACAGATGAAATAAGCAAAGTAAAGAAAAAGAGATTAAACAAAGAAAATCTAGAAAGAATACAATGAGAAATTGAGAATAATAGAGTATATATATGGAGCAACACAAAATAATTGTCTCATTTATTTCAATTTATGTCGACCATCCTATATTAGTCTGTTTCTTTGACATTTCCTCCATCTTGTGTGTACTTTGCAATGTCTACATGCATGCTACTCGTAATTACTCCGTATCAATACAAGTTTTCGGTATGAAATATCAATTTGGTCAGCAGTACAATTTTATTCGCTAGGAAGCTAGCTAAGTATAGAGTAATAATTTACTAAATTCTCCACAAATATACAGTACGTATAAAACCTATCTAAATAAAGAAAATAAATAATTACAAATACCAAACTTCGTCATCATAATTCTCTCAATGCATGCATGGGTTTACAAATTTATATGGAAGGTACAATAATACGGAGTACAACTTTAACCATGATCATATTTATATTATACTTGTACTTACTATATTGGTAAAATAATTAAATCAATGAAGACATATAAATAGTGTAAAATTCCAAGTCTAGCTTTAAAAAAATTGGAGTGAGTACTTATCAACATCTTTTATAAAAAAATACTAGTAGTAAATTAAATGTATCAACACCTTGCTTTGTACCATTGTACACATTGTTTCTTCTAGATTTATTTTCTACTAATCTTCTTGCAATTCGAAAAAATAAATGCAAAAGTATTGACTAGGCCTTTTTTTGTTAAATCAATTGCAATAAAATTTTATATTCTACCTTAAATATTTTTTTTTTTACCGAACACACACATATACATTATTCCACATGTGAATTTTTTTTCCCCGAACTTATAATTGATCTTAAGAATTAATAATAGTAAAAATAACTGTCCAATTTATTTTGTAACATTTTAGATAAACATGGTGATACGATAATTATTATGATACATATAGAATAATACGGAGTAACAACTTTAGAGACCTGTGATAGTCGCAATAATCAACAACTTATAAAATTTCCGGGCATTGACCGGTATGAACCTATCTGCCTGGCCCCCGGTGGTCGAAAGGTCAAATTACACACCCCAAAATTCTAACCATAACAAAGAGAATGATAACATGAGTGTTAAAGAAATCGATAGCAATAAGACGTAAAAGGTGTTAGTCGTTCAAATAAAAACGCACTTCCTGGAAGAGGGGATGACTCAGACTAACAAGAAATGTTTAATTAGTGAAAGAGTGGGATCTTCTCATCATCCACTAACATCTAATTCCTCAAGTATGTCCTCGTTTATGTACTTATAGATTTGATCCTTTGATAGACAGCAAGGGTCAAAAGTTTCCTTACAATTGAGAAGAGGCGAAAATAAAGCTCATTTTTGTACATTATATTACTCTCATTAGTCATTTTACTAATTAAAGCGTAATTGTAGCTAGTCACTTCTTCACCTTTTTATTTTTTTTAGTATAACGGTGCTTGTTCGATCCTATCCCGTATATTCATTGTATATAATCCAATAACTGTCCGTTAATCAATAAAATACTCACTGTTCTTCCTAGTTAATATTCTGAGAATTGTATCTTAGATATTTAGTTAAATGGTCAAACGGTGCAACTGTTGTATCCGAAATCTTTAGGGTATTTGATTACGTCAATAAAAATTAGTTAAAGCATCCTTTTAGTTCTCTCTCCTAACTGTGTATTAGCTGATGTAATAAATGTTTTGATGCACTAAAGCTTCGACACAAACACGCAGTTTCCTACTTTTTTGTGCGCTGACATCAAAAGAAATGACAAAAAAACAAACAGCAGGTTTCTTCCAAGATTGGTAGCAGCCCCAGTACCTAGTCACCAATTAAAAAAATTTAAAAAAAATGAACAAAATTTAGTACTGATGAGGTGGCATTCTTAGGTTCATTGGTGGGATCCTACTGTAAAAGAATTGGTGGCTCAGCTTTGCTTGCAAGAAGATTTGAGATCTTCAAATAATAAAACTTGAAAATAGAAATTACTATCAAAATACTGGATTTTTGGAGTATCATATTCATATTCAAAGGGATTTACTATAAATAGGAACAATAGCATAGTGCCCAATCCAATTCATTTAATAGATATTTTCTTCATAAAAAAAAATCTTTTAAGGAGTAAGTTTTTTTCCCAAGTTATTCAGATCCAAGATTTACACTTTGTCAAAAAAAATGAAGAGGCTATTGCTTGTCTAAGAAGTGTTATCTGATAAAATACTGAATGGTTAAATTTCGAAACAATATAAAATGGGCTTGAACAACCCGAACAAGGAGGATGAGAGTTTGGTCCACAAATTAGGCTTAGGAGCTTCCCTACTAAAACCAATTGGCAATAGTAGGAGTTACTCCTCTACCTTATAAAGTGGAACCATCTCGCTCCCCCCTTTCTCCAATGTGAGACACTCACAAGTGGACAAGAATGAGTTTCAACAAGAATAAACAATCATTTCTTCTAATATATTTAATTAAGTACAAGAGTTTAACTATGTACGTAAATGATTATTGGGAGAAATTGATAGTGAGAGTGCAATTTAGGTAGTTTTGGTGCATTTTGTTGGTAAACTAATTCAGTGAGCAGTGTAATGAGTAGAAGCTTACGCTATTAGCATATTGGAGAATGAATGAGCTAAGACCTAACTCCCATTTCCCCAAACTAATATCCTTATATCCGTGTATTGGTGAGCCCCAGCCACCACCACCATATTACTCCCTCCTCTTTTTTTTCTTTCATGCCATCTATAAATTAACTAATTAGCATATGAATGATGAGTCTGCTCAAGATGTAGAGGGTTATATAAAGAGATCGATCATTATATTCCCAATCAATAAATTTAATTCCAATATATAAATCGATATGAAAACTACACGACCTTATTTAAATATAAAGTGTGCTCAACATGAATACAGAATATAAGATCAACAATTTTGATCGATTATTGTTAAACTTGATCATAAGGAATGATTCTTTGATTTTTTTTTTCTTTTAAAGTTAAATAGATACAAAGTATATAAAAAGATTATTCACATGTTTGACTATCACCTCAAAGATTTTTATGATAATAAAAACGATTAGACGAGGTGGTACCTTATACATATTATTCATATATTAATTCATATGAGAATCCAAGAATATATATTCTAATTGTATTTATTTACAATTTTTGTATCTTTTTTATTTATATCTTTGGCTTTATTTTAAAAGAGATATGAGAGAACATAATCCAAGGAAGTTGGTGTGACTGTGATCTTAACATAACACCAAAAATTAGACATTCTAGTCAACAAACTGTCAACTTTGTTAACATTAATTTTAACGTACCAACTTCAACTATCAGCATGAAGAAAAAAAAAATTTGATAAAAAATTCCCCAATTAGCATCATAAACACATTTTATTGGTTCCCACCACTTTTCTTTTTATACGGTAAAAAGTAGGAAAAAAAAAAGAGTTGGTATTATTGTTAATATAAATAGAAAAAAATGCGCGTCTATTATAGGTATAATCATTTCTACATAATTAATTTACGTACATATTGTATCATTTTTTCTAATTTGCTTTTATTACTCTGTTAAATTTATTGCCTAAGGTTAAAAAAAAAAAACATGATTAGATGGAAGATTAGTGGATAAATTATGCGCACAAGTTGCAATCAACAATCAATTATGATAATTGGGCCCGATTGATGACGCATTGACGTGTTGGTAGTACGGGTAAAAGAAAAGAAG